TAAAAAAAAAACACCAAGTGATTGCTTATGTATGACAATCTTTTTCAACACCACCTTGTTAAAGTCAATTTTGACTCTGCTTAAATCATAAAACACAGAGACTGAGAAATGTGTTATCTTTAAAGGCATTTGACCTTATTATCTGACTCTTTTTTGTAGTGAGTTTGAGGAGGGTACAGAAAAAAGTAAACATGATAAATAGAGGCCTAATTAGCAACATTTGTGTAAATGTCTACTTTTAGGCTATATGATGTCAGACAGAATGGACTTTTAAGTAAAACAGCATTGTTCACACTTGCCAGTGGAGACGAACAGGCAGCCAAATTCTTTTTTTAAAAAAAATATTTAGACTTTTTAGACTCCTCTTCATTTATAATGCTCTGCTTTCTACACTGATTTTTTGCAACACAAATAATTTGTTCCAAGCTATCTTCCCCAAAGGAACTAAAATGTACATTATAAATAAAAAGAGATAAGTAATATTTTTTTTTAAAAAAGACTCAATTATATGAATCCTTCAAAGTATTTATTTTACCATTTTATCACTCATGCACTCCTTTTTGGGGCATCTTTACCTTTCTGCTGCTAGTGTATAAAGTGCCATTCAAAAAGACAAATGAACTTAATTGCAACCTTTCACAATTGTCAGGCACAAAGTGAAATGAAACAATTAATTCCAGAGATTAAAAGATATAGGATTGGAATGGATGAAGAAGCCACCTCATTTACTGCAGAAGAGAGCTGCAAAGGAAGGCATCACCAAAACGAAAGCTCTGTCCCTGGTACTAGTTAGTCTAACTTCATTTATTAAAATGCCCAAGAGCAAGGCATTTCTAGGCACTCTTTATAGGTATACTATAGGCCAGGGGTCTTCAAACTCGGCCCTTTTATGACTCATGCACTTCAACTCCCAGAATTCCTCAGCCAACATGCCTGGCTGAGGAATTTTGGGAGTTGAAGTCCATGAGTCATAAAAGGGCCAAGTTTGAAGACCCCCACTATAGGCACTCTGTCAGTAATATAGTCCTACAACAAGCAAATCATTTCACTTCTAGAGAAAATGAAAATGTCTTTTCCAACATAGGTCCGATGATCAGTCAGACTTCAGATGCCATGAGCAATCTCCTCTGTTGAGCTTTCCCAAGGAAAACATGTTTGGAATGCAAACTTTCCAGCATCTTTTCCCCTAATTTACAAATGTTTCTTGCAGAAAAGAGAGAGGAAACTTTATACAGAATAGGGATTTTTTTTTGAGAGAGAGAGAGGATTTTAATGCCTAGAAATCACCGGAGAGGAAAGTGATCATCATTCAGAATTATGGCAAGATACATAATCCCTTTTTTGCAAGAGTGATTCTTTGAGATTGGTAAATTCTCATGTTAGAATCAGCACTGAACCATCTGTTGTGCAAAAATACTCTGCTGATTCATTTCAACACTGTTCATTAGTTCATTGCTGTAGACCTTTCTAATTACAGCGCAAGAGTATTCTTACTATTTCATGAAATTAGCTTCCAGAAGTCCCACTACCAACTTGGAATATCATTATGTGTAGTGAGATGACTGGAAATTGGCTTAATTTATGACTTCCAGCATAGACCATTAAGCATTCCCCCAAGACAAGAAAGGGCTTAAATAAAGTGAGAGGTAAAGCATTTGAAAAAGCTAGACACAAAAGAAATCCAGGCTGACAGAACAAGAGAAGAGATAACAGGAAAGGCAACAGGGAATCTGCTCTGAAGCAACTCATTTACTGATTTAGTCACACACAACATTTTTGGTGCAGTCCATTAATTTAATACAGTAAGTTGTGTGGTGAAATTAGAGAGTTGCATGTATCAGTCATATTTTGCTCTGAGAAAATTTATCTTTATCTATTATACTGTGCAGGAAAGAGGGTCAGCCTTAACCAAACTATGCCAACCTGTTCTGTACAGCCATAAATCACTGGACATTTGCTCTTTAAATAGACTAGGATTTGTATAATAGTCTCCTAACTTAAAAGTAAATAACTCAACAGAAGGAGGAAGAGCAGGCAAGATATACTATACCCTTGGGAAATATTGAACTTCTATATCCAGATTAGTTTCCATCTAATTTTTGCCATGTGAGTACATAAGCCAAGAACCATGAGAGCAGAGGGCAGTGACTCAGCTTGTTAAATCTCTGTGTGAGCTTTAATTATCTCTGGCAAAGAGCCTATTTTATAGAGAGGGACTTTAAGATAAAGCCACATCTGATACATGATACAAAGATCTGCTAAGACAGGGGTCTTTAAACTTGACCCTTTTATGACTTGTGGACTTCAGGTCCCAGAATTCCTCAGCCAGGCATGCTGGCTGAGGAATTCTGGGAGCTGAAGTCCACAAGTCATAAAAGGGCCAAGTTTGAAGACCCCTGTGCTAAGAGAACAGAAGGCTCTTTGAAATTAATTGAAATAGTAGCAATTGCAATGCTCAACCTTAAAAGTTCCAACTGTTAGCCTTCCTCCTGCCAATGAACATGATGATTATTAATTTAGTAGTACCGAAATGCTACGGATTATTCCTTATAAAAGATGTATGGTTAACTATACCTAGAGGAGATAAGCCCCAAAGTGGGATCAAAGTGGAATAGGTTACCAGATGAATTATATTATACAAGACATAAGTAACACCACAAAAATCTTTCTGTGAAAGATGCTTCCTATTCACCACTCTAAATGGAAGATGGTCCAATGGTCCATTGGTTATCATTACCTGGAACAATAAGTAGCCAATAAAAGAAAAAGAATGCATGGAGATAACCCAAAATTTCTAAGGAGTAGATTTTTTTTCTATATATGTATGTACAACACTTTACCAAGCTAAGTAATTTCACTTTTTAATAGTAATATATCCCTGTATGTCAGGTTGGACTCATTTGTGCCTGGTACACATTTGGGGACAACCTGATGTTCTGGAAAGCCTTATGGATGAATGACATACAAATGTAATGTATAAATAATAAAACATGTTTAAATCAAATCAAAATAAATCTTTATTATGGTCATAGACAAGCATATGGTGTTTGAGATATGAATAATTAAAAAACATAAAAGGTACATCAGATACTAAAATAATAAAAAGCTTATTTTTTTAAAAAATGTGTGTATACACACACACACACACACACAGAAGGAGAGAGAGAGAGAGAGAGAGAGAGAGAGAGAGAGAGAGAGAGAGAGAGAGAGAGAGAGAGAGAGAGAGAGAGAGAGAGAGATTAGGGACCTGTCTAGATCCAACTGGCATTCTGTGTTTGCTACACATCCATCCATCCATCAGTCAGTGGTTTCTCTGCAATAGAACTGACCAAAAGGCCCAGTTTACACTTGCCCACTGAGCAATAGCTGCAGTCACAGGAAGACCCTGAAGTGGCTGACATGATCCTTCAGGGGCAGTGCCACACTGTCAAGATACAGTACCAGAGATTTTAGAGACTCTTGGTGAACAGAAGCATCATGAGCACCTCCAGTTCTTCACCTTTCCTTCCAGAAGGGGTCACAGTTGGCCAGATGTTGTGAAGAAGTAAGACTTGACAAACTTGAGCAGCTTGATGAGCAAAATTCTATGCCACAGAAGGGAGGCAGAAGATAAACTTGTCACCAACCAAAGTGGGAGTGGGCCAATCTTAATAAGCCCACTGGCTGACAACTCACTGGCATTGTATATGAGGAGAAAGATATATAATTGTCCGTTCAAGATTAAACTCTTTCTTGTGATCCACTGACCACCCTAAAAGCCAACTTTAGAATAACTTTTACAAACAAAGAGTTTAAAATTATAAGTCTGGACACTGAGAAATGATCAGCAATTATGTATATCAAAAAAAGCAGCCATTAAAAACTAAGTTAGTATGTGCATTAAGTATAACAATGTGATGGTGTTTAGAAATAAAATCAGCAGCAGCCACACGACAAAATTAGAAGGAGAAACAGGGAGCGAGGAGACAGACAGAATGCATTATAGCAGTTAAGAGAGAAGAGTAGGCCCTGAAATTTCTATGGTTTATTCAAATACCCTTATTAGCATGAGAGTTGTTCTATTCTAAGACAACAAGAGCTGAGATATAAAAAAATAGAAGCTCACTAGAGGGCAGCAGAAATGTACCAAAGACTCAAATGCTTTAGTGTTTTCTATTGGTTTACCTCAGTGTTTCTCAACCTTGACAATTTTAAGGCATGTGGACTTCAACTCCCAGAATTCCACAGCCAGCAATGCTGGCTGTGGAATTCGGGGAGTTGAAGTCCACATGCCTTAAAATTGTCAAGGTTGAGAAACACTGGTTTACCTAACGTTGCAATGTCAAATCGGTTAGATCTACCTATTCATTACAAGTCATATGAACTAATAGGAGTTTTAATTGCCATTCTGCATGTATTACAGAAATTAATCACTTTACTGTTAGGTTTAAATGATTCATTACAATGGCACTAAAAAAAGGGAGTTATGGCTGTTTTCACGTGACATCCCCCTGATCACGTTATCAAAATCTGGACGCTTGACCATTTGCAGGTATCTATGATGGTTGCAAAGTTCCCGGGGGTTATGTGATCATCTTTTGCAACAAGCCAAGTCAATGGGAAGCCAGATGCTTAACAATTGTGTTACTAACTTAAAAATTGCACTGATTCACTTAACAAACTGTAGTTGCAGAATGGGGCAAAATTCACTTCACTGTCTTGCTTAGCAATAGAAATGTTGTGCTTAAGTGTGGTTATAAGTCAAGGGCTACTTGTTATTTAAAGAGGGGGGAAAAATAAAGAAGTGAGAAAATGACCCAATAACAGTACTTGGACAAGTCACAGGGTAACTGAAGAAACTCACAGCCTTTCTATACTGTTTGTAATTTTCATAAGCAGGTGCTAATTATGCTTTAGAACTATTTCTTATTCCGTTGAGATTGTTCCTTTTCCCACTAGATGTAAATAAAACACTGCTTGCATTCAGGTGTCATGTGTTTAATTTGCTTGTACTGGTTCAGGTAACAAGTGACTATACATCAAATGCAAACCTAAGTCAGTTGTGGATATCTCCTATGAATCAAACGAGATGACATACATCGTGAAATAAACTTCCTATTACACCTGAGAAAATCTCAATATAATACTGAACCAGGTATGAACCATTTTATGTCTCTCAGTAACTGCACCTCGAAAACACTGAATAGAATTTGAAGTATTGTATATCTATGAGCACAAACAAAATGTATGACATTTTTCAAAGTCATCCTTGTAGACAGGAATTCTCCTTTGTATCCTTGTTTTTATTTTTAAACATTGTATTTAATAGGGTCTTGGATTTAATCTTGCTTTGCCAAACAGCTAACAAACTACATAATTAATAAATAAGATGATTCAAGAGGTTTCGCAAGTAAAAACAATTCCTTCAGGGTATTAACTTCAATGAATCTTCAATAAGAATTTCTTCCAGAGCATATTTTCAAGACAGTTCTTAAAATTGGTCTTAGATGACAATTTTGACATCAATGTTGGTCATGACAATTACAAGCAGGGCAGAACTGAGTGTGGAATATTTGTAATTCTCAAATTTCCTTTTGAAAATTATCCTTTCTATATTCCTTATTTGCAACATGATGGAAATTGTGGAGAACAAGTCATTAATGTATGAATGAGTGAGGCAGCATATAGGAACAACAAATTCAATTACTAATGTGTAAATACAATACAATACTCTGGCAAAATATAGTCTGGCAAGTCATGTAGACATATGCATATAAATGTAATTCATTTGCTAAAGAAAAAGTATATATTCAAAAGATAAAAATGAGCACCAGGAGGTAAAACAATTAAATGTTTAATAAATAGATAACCTAGCTTTCGATGGCTGTATTGCTGCCATCATTGTCAGGGTGTTAAAAGCCAGAGGGTGGGGGAGCTCGTTTATAAGCACAAATGCACCTGCACACGGCTCATAGACGTCGTTATGGGGCCCAGTCGATTGATCCTATAAACGAGCTCCCCCACCCTCTTTTAACACCCTGACGATGATGGCAGCAATACAGCCATCAAAAGCTAGGTTATCTATTTATGAAACATTTAATTGTTTTACCTCCTGGTGCTCGTTTTTATCTTTTGAATATGTATACACTGAGGAGACTATGTTCCTCAATTTTTAGGTTAATTTTTAATATATATATATATATATATATATATATATATATATATATATATATATATACACACATGTATATATACACACATATATATATATATATACATATATACATATATACATACATATATATATATATATATATATATATATATATATATATATATATGTAGGTCTTTGGTTGTTCGGGTTTTCTCCCGCGTAAAATTGGAAGTGTCTTGGCGACGTTTCGACGAAGTCCCATTCGTCATCTTCAGGCTGGTGTTTTCAGCTTCGTGCTTCGAGCAGCAATGTGTGGTCTTAGCTGTTTCTTCCTTTTAACTGCCAGTGGGGGTATGAACTGATTGGGTGGGAGCTTGGCTGTGTTCTGATTGGGTGGAGGTGTGTTCTGATTGGTTAGGGGCTTGGCTGTGCTCTGATTGGCTGGGGGGTTGGCTGTGCTCTGATTGGCTGGGGGAGTGTTCTGTTTGGTTGTGCTCAGGTTAGTCTGAGTTGCAGAGGGGTTTAAGATTTTGGGTTGCCTTGCTATTTTTTGACTTCGCGTTCATGGAGGGTGTCAGTTTGCTTCATGTATGGATTGGAGGGGTTTAAAGTGGCTAATGATGCAGCTGTGGTCTGGCTTCTGGTTTGTGGTCGTGCCTCATCATCGGTGTGGCTTTGGGTTTGTTTTTTGCGTGGATGTGTGTGGTGGGTAAAATTGAATTAGAAAATCAAGGAGTATACGAAATCCCATGCACCACTTGTCCCACCACATACATCGGACAAACCAACAGAAGAATAAGTGCACGCATTGAAGAACATAAGAACTCAATCAAAAAAGAAGAACCAACATCTTCCCTGGTCCAACACCTTAAAACCACAGGACATGAAATTGACTTTAAAAATACCAGAACCATTGCCAAAAGTGAACATTTTATAACAGAATAATCAGAGAAGCCATCGAGATAGAAAAATGACCACACAGCATGAACAAGCGAGATGATACCTCCCGCCTACCAGCCATTTGGAAACCCGCCCTTACTGAGAATCGACTCCCTAACACAAAATAATGATACCAGACCCACACTCACAAAAACCACACAGGATGTCACCACCACACATCCACGCAAAAAACAAACCCAAACCCACACCGATGATGAGGCACGACCACAAACCAGAAGCCAGACCACAGCTGAATCATTAGCCACTTTAAACCCCTCCAATCCATACATGAAGCAAACTGACACCCTCCATGAAGAGGAGGCACGACCACGAACGCAAAGCCAAAAAATAGCAAGGCAGCCCAAAATCTTAAACCCCTCTGCAACTCAGACTAACCTGAGCACAACCAAACAGAACACTCCCCCAGCCAATCAGAGCACAGCCACCCCCCCAGCCAATCAGAGCACAGCCAACCCCCCAGCCAATCAGAGCACAGCCAAGCCCCTAACCAATCAGAACACACCTCCACCCAATCAGAACATAGCCAAGCTCCCACCCAATCAGTTCATACCCCCACTGGCAGTTAAAAGGAAGAAACAGCTAAGACCACACATTGCTGCTCAAAGCAAGAAGCTAAAAACACCAGCCTGAAGATGACGAATGTGACTTCGTCGAAACGTTGCCAAGACACTTCCAATTTTACGCGGGAGAAAACCCGAACAACCCAAGACCTATATACAAATACCCGCGAAAACCTCAGAAAACATATATATATATATATATATATATATATATATATATATATATATATATATATATATATATAAAAATTAGGCCACCTGTGTCAAAACAAAGTGCTGTGTGGTATCATCAAGATTAAGAAATTTATTATATAAGTTAGTCAAGGCATGAGGTTAAATTATAAATATTGATGGACTTTACAATTTGAAAGACCTATAGTATCCCTTCCTTGGCTTGCAAGACCTTAGTGTTAATTTTATACATTCAACCATATGTTCTACTGAACTCATTGGGAATTATGTCTGAGAATGCGTAAACAGGATTATACTGTTGCATATACTGTTGAAGACCAGACTTATAATCACAAAAAAACAAAGAATATCTCTTGTACCATAAACACATAAATGCAATGACATCTCATTTGAAAATATGCAAAGCAGCAATGTGAATAACTTTATTTTGTACATGATTAGTTCCCTTCTTTTCTCTTAAAAGTGCCAAAGAAATACCTTCTGTAGATGGAAACCAGCTATTACCAAGAAGCACATTATTTTTTTTAATTGGAAGAGTTAACATCACTAGGGTGAATCACCATCCACCAATTAAAACAGTATGAATATTGCATAATGGGAAAAAGCTGTAAGCATAAGCAAATACACGTCAACTGCATTCATTGAATTGGAATTAAGATTTCTACAGTTCCCATAAATATATTTAAAATGTGGCCATTTAAATAAAACAGATGTCACAAGATATAAATTCTGCAATTATTCAGTTATGATCTTACAGCCAGCTTATATCTGTTTTGACAGCTATCAGTGCTGAAAGTCAAAAGCCTACTATAAATTTAGGTCTACACATTGATCCATCGTTAGATGCAAGATGGCACTCCAAAATAAAATATAAAGTGAGGCGCTTACCACAGGGTAAAGAGACTGAAGAATAAAGTTCATACTTGTACCAATCCACTTGTGGACTGCTGAATTTGGTCTCATTAAGGTCGGGCTGTGAAGCACATCTGCCATCCGCTTCTTCTGGAGATAAAATGCCCAGTTCAATTTTCTCAACTGACATTTCAGTCCACTTAAAAATTTCAGGTAGCTACTGGTTAAGGTGAAGTGATACCAGCTGATCCAGTTTGCTTGTAGACTAAAAACTTGGGAACAAAATATTCTTTGATTAATTCAGGAAAACTGTCACTTGCTTACAAAATGCCAGAGTCGTCAATTCCAGTAAAGTGGATACAGGTCTGGATTTCCTAGTTTTTCCAGGTTTTAAGAGGGGGAGGAAAAAACTCCTCTATTTCTTTAAAAAGTTCTTCTGCACTTGTGCAAAAGAAGCGTTATGGTCCTTCTGTGTAGCTGCAAAGGCAATAAACAGGATAAGTGGAGACATCTGTATGCCTGGTAGGATCTGCTCTTAATAACTTTGTTTTAGTTCTAATTCATATTTCAGTTCACATTTGTTGAGTTGGGAGGGACTTAACCATACCAATGAAAACAAGTGCAGGAAGAACTTGAAAAGTAGAAGCTAATTATTGCAAACCTCTCTTCCCTCCTGGGACATTTGCACTGAGAGACTTCAAATCAACAATGAACCCCTGCTTAAGACAGCTGTAAAGCTAGGATAATAAATTAGTACTTTTTAATAGCTTTTAGGGAAAATATGTAGCTGGGTCTAATTCATTTAAAAAAAAATGCTGGTTGATACCAAACATACACAGATACTTTCTTATACATGATTTTTCTGACCTCTGATGCATTTTGTCTTGCATTAAAATAGATGCAGCTCCAAAAGGACTGTTTGATGATTTTAGTTAATTAGTGTAAGGATTCATAGTTCTATATAACTTGTTTAAAAGCCAAGCTAGCCCAATAAGTAACCAATACTAAATGATTATTGGAAAACTGGCCTGTACTAATTCTCCTTCTTCTCCTATATTCTGCAGGCATAAAGAAGCATAACAGAAGAAAAGCATTATTTTTGTAGCTCTATTTGAATTCTGCCCCCTTTTTTAAAATGTGAATCAGTAGTGCTAAGGGAGCCACCTGCTGGCGACAATAAAACATTGCATGAGAAGTTCTGGAAAGTTAACTTTTCAGTCCTTGAAACGCTAACCAGAAACGCTGAATGATTCAGATGTGATTCATTAAGACAAGGAATTCTTGAAATCGAGACATGCTGTACCCCTTTGAACCATTCTGATTGTAAGTACAAGGTCATCCCTGTTTCCAGGTCACGTCTCTCAACAAGGAAGTCTTTTTTTCTCCAGATGAAATAACTACAATGTCTGCAGGTAAAGCGGGATGAATTTTGATGTTATATTTTAATTTAGGCAGTGGTTTCTAATAAAAAAATTAAACAGCAAGTAGGATGTGATTTAAAGTATGTGGAGAAGTATCACTTCTGTTTTTTTAAGATGCTTGCCCTCAGAGATACTTAACACAAAAGTAAGGCATTTGACAAAGTAGATTACAGCCTACTTCTTGATAAGATAGAGCAGTGGTGGCGAACCTATGGCATGGGTGCCAGAGGTGGCACTCAGAGCCCTCTCTGTGAGCATGCACGCCATCGTCCCAGTCCTAGGCCTTCAGCTGGGTTTTATAAAACCTTTTTGCTTTAGGCCTCCGCTGCCGTGTGCAAAAAAAAAAAAAAGTTTAATCAGTCAATTTCAACTTCTTGCGGTAAAAAAAAGATCTTGCAAAGTTGGAATTGATTGACTGAACTTTTTAGTCCCACCAAGCCTGCCATTACCACTGCAGCCACGCCCACCCAATAGGCCACATCCACCCAACGGACCACGCCCACCCGGCACCCGACGATACATAAATGGGTTTTGGATTGCAGTTTGGGCACTCGGTCTCTAAAAAGTTCACTATCACTGAGATAGAGCAATGTGAGCTAGGCCATAGGTTCGCTGCTCTCAGATGGATTTACAATTCGCTAAGAAGTCAGTTAGGTAGTTCTCAATGAGATTACATGTACATGTAGGGGAGTGTGCAGTGGGGCATCTCAACATTCAACATCTTTATAAATGATCTAGAGAATGGGATAGAAGGGGAATTCATCAAATTTACAGATGACATCAAGATAGAATTGAGTCTATCTTCCAAAGTATTAGAATTGCTAACACTTTGGAAGATAGATTCAAGATTCAGAAGGATCTTGACAAACATGAGCATTGGGCCCTATCCAACAAGATACAGTTCAGTGTTGAGAAAAGTAAGTTCCTTCACTTAAGCAGGAAAAACCAAATGCATAAGGACAGAATAGGTGGCTCCTGGCTTAACAATAGTAACAGGGAGAAAGATCTATGTATCCTAATGGATCACCATTTAACTTAGGAAGAGCAATGTGCTGCACATGCCAAAAGAAGCCAATACAGTACTTGGCTGCATCAACAGAGGGATAGCATCAAGATCACAAGAAGTGATAATACTGCTTTATATCACACTAGTTGAGGTCACATTTGGAGTACTGCGTACAGTTCTGGTCAGCATGATTCAAAGAAGATTCTGAGACTCCAGAAAGTGTCTAGAGAAGAACAACAAAGATGACAAATGATCTGAGGGCTAAATTGTATGATGACTGGTTATGGGAACCTAGTATGTTTAGCCTACTGAAGAGAAGGATTAGGGGTGACATATTAATTGTCTTTCAGTACTTGAGGGGCTGTCACAGAGAAGAGTGGATTTACTTACTTTACAAAGCATCAGAGGACAGGACAAAAGGTAATGGGTGGAAGCTTGTTAAAGAGAGATCCAACTTAGAATTAAGGAGAACTTTTCTGGCAGTGATAACAATAAGTGGAATAGCTTGCCTCCTGCTTCATCACTGGAGGTTTTAAAACTAGACTGGACAATCATTTAACTGGGATGGGATAAGGTCTCCTGCCTTGAACAGGAGGTTGGACTTGTGAGGTCTCTTCCAGCTCTATGATTCCATGTCCTATGTTCACTTCACTTCTGTTGCTGTATGGTGGAGAAAATTCAGGGCTAGAAGGGCTTTATATTCATTTCCATTTCTGACAAGGATTCCTTGAGTAGCCTTGTGCAAGTCAGATCTTCCAGTCTGAGGAAATTTTTTTTTGTAACACTGACAAAGTAATGATAATCCTTAAAGGAGATGAATGAGACATGGCTTGTAAAATACATTGTATGACAAGTGCTATGCTAAATATGTATTAACATCAAGAGCATATAGGTGTCTGGTGATGGCTTGTGATGTGTTTGAACAAATATTCCAGTGGAATGTCTACAGATCCTAAGATAGTGATTATTTCACTGTTGAAAATGATTCTTCAGCTATGTGTATTACATATTTTAGACAAGTGCAAAGTGACTTAGATTTGCTTTGATAAAAAGATTTGTGCCATAGAGGCAACATAACTCTTTTCATCCAAGCAAAGTGGCAACATGATTCTCCTCAAGGAAGCAATTGATGTCACCTCAAATTACTTCTGCCAAAGCTGCTGGAGAAACCTGCTCTCAGTCTTCTCCTCTGGTGCTTGGAAACTTCACAATCGCAATAGCAGTAGCACTTAGACTTATGTACCACTTCACAGTGCTTTGCAGCCCTCTCTAAGCAGCTTACAGAGTCAGCATATTGCCCCCAACAATCTGGGTTCTCATTTTACTGACCTCAAAAGGATGGAAGGCTAAGTCAACCTTGAGCCAGTGATACTGGAACTGCCGAACTGCTAGCAGTCAGCAGAATTAGCCTGCGGGACTGCGCTACCATAGCTCAATAACATAATTGAATTGTATAGACATCTTGTGAGGAATTTTCTTTTAGTTTCTTCTTCTTATAAATTTTAACTTTATTTTCCCCTTTGTTTTTGTCCTAGGTGTGGTACTGCTGATTTTATCAGAAGAATGATGGGGAGAAACAAGACAATAGTATGTACCTCTTTCCTTAGGTGCATAGACTATTTACATGCAATGGCCAAGTATTCAATAAAGAGTTACACAAGCATTTATTTTAGTCACTGAAGAGTTATATTTGGGTTACACTTTGTTCTGTCTTGTCCTTGGTGTGACACTTGTGTAGAGTAGGATGATCTTTCTCATCTTCAATCCAGTTAATCTTGATAACAGATACTCCTTAACTTTGAGGTGGTCTCATCACCACCTGGTATGAACAAAGGCTCTTTTAGTCTTGATGTTCTCATTCTTGGCAGGAGAGCAAAATATTGCAAGGTAAGATAGGCTTGTCCTTCTTGTCCTTCTTAAAATCCTGTATGATGAATCCACTGAAAAGCAGATGTGCTTAATTAAGATTCAGATCCTATACATCTAGTCAAAATTGCCCATGGGATGAAACATTTATACTGATCTAATCAAGAGATTGCTGCATGTTTGCTGGCTTTGAAGGGGGTCTGACCAGTGTCATCTGCTTAAGCTTCCCTGATTGGCAGTAAAGGCATAAGATCTTTCTTTGTCTTATTATATTCTTAAATATTATTTGTTTTCTGTCTAATGTTATTTTCTAGTATTGCCTTGGAGGAAAGGCTTAAGGACTTAAACTGTATGATCATTTCTTCCAAATTCAAATAAATCTGGGAACAGAGCAACACATTAGGGTTTTTTTTGGGGGGGGGAATTAATGGTTGCCAGCTTGTTAAAGATTAGTGGGATTGCCCTATGGGGCTTATCCACATAGCTGCTTTAATATGCCACCTTGCAGCAAGAGAAAAGTATGTCAACAATGCAGTTCAGCAACAAAGTTGGCCGATGCTGCTGTCCTCTTATTGGAGGACAATCTCTTCGATTCCCTGCTATCATTTTCCCTGCCACTCAGTGTCCTACATGGGTAAAAAAGATCAAACTCTAGATATGCTCCTGAGTGTGTGATACATTTCTGACCCTCCAACCAATGTGCCATTTAGGCTCTGCCAGTCAGTATTTTTCTTTTGATATTGTTGACTCAGAGTTAGGTTTTTTTTTTGGGGGGGGAAATGAGTATCAAAGTTTGTTTGTTTCTTTATTGCTACAGAAATACCAATCTCTCAGATATCTTGTAGACACAGGAATTGAGATTGAGATTCTCATTGAAAAAAAAAGGCTTATATTTTTCAAAGATGTTGCATTGTAGGCCCTAATAAGCAACTCCAAGGCTTTGCTTTTCCTCTTTATCCTGCTTTAGTGCAAAGCTGTCTTTCTGAGCAGCTATTAGCTCTTTGCTGCTCTGATTTATCCTCCTCCCTCCTTCAGCAGTTCAAGTTCTACCATCACTTGATGGAATGAGTTTGCCTCAGCTCCTGCCAACCTAGCAGTTCAAAAGCATGTAAAAATGCAAGTAGATAAATAAGTAACACTTTTGTGGGAAGGTAAAAGCATTCCATGTTTCGCTATACCAGTGTTTCTCAACCTTGACAGTTTTAAGGCATGTGGACTTCAACTCCCAGAATTCCACAGCCAGCAATGCTGGCTGTGGAATTCTGGGAGTTGAAGTCCACATGCCTTAAAATTGCCAAGGTTGAGAAACACTGCGCTATACACTCTGCACTGCAGTGTGATGTTATGCTGGCCACAGGACTGCAGAATCATCTTCAGACAGCCCTGGCTCAATGGCTTTATAGAAACGGAGATGAGCACTGTCCCCTAATGTTGGTGCAATTAGAGGAGTAAAACCCACAGGGACATATCCTCCAGTTGCCACCTTCTACTTTGCTCTCTGCAGGCTTCTGCCCAATGATCCCAAAGCAGCCATCATGCTGAAACCGAGTAACTCTGCATTGACTCTTGGCAAAAGAATTAGCAGAGAAGCTTAGCCCAGAATCCAATTGTCATTCGGTTGTTGGGAGTTGTGAGGTTCTGATCCCTTGAGCATGTATCTAGTCCCCTCACAGAAATGATAATAGTACCATGGTACCCAGAAACCAGATGTAGAAGGGGAGATGCTTGCAACAAATTTGCAAATCCAATAGGATCTGAGTAGTTCCTAGTCCCTAACTATATTACTCATGTAATCATCGTTTGTTAAGACCCTAGGCTGTCCACATGGGAAGTTTTGTATAAAAGCAGTATAAAAATACTGCTTTTATACAAAAACACTTAAACTTGACATCAGGCTGTCCTAAGGAGGGAAGATAGTAAAATAGAATAATCTTGTGAGGACCTGAAATCAAAAATGCTTAGCAAGGAATCTTTATGCTGAGGCAATAAAGACATAAGATTGAGCCCATTGGCTCGCTTTTTTTTTGGTCTGTTTTAGCTTGTACAAATTTCTAAAATCATGGAGTGGAAAGGGAACTGTGAGTTTTCTAATCCAACCCCATTCAATTCAGTAGTTTAATGTCTTTTTCTTTCTATCTTTACTCAGAAAATGCAGGTAGCCCTTGACTTACAACAGTTCATTTAGTGCAGTGGTTCTCAACCTTTTTAATGCCGCGACCCCCAACTGGTCGTAAGTCGAGGACTACTCAACCGGTCGTAAGTCGAGGACTACTCAACTGGTGCAGCACCGTTTGCAGACTGGGACTTTTGGCGGGCTCAGCAGGGCAGAGACAGCCTGGACAATTCCTATTGGCTTTTGAAAGCCAATAGAATTAGACTCTATTCAAGAGAGTCTATTCTATTGGCTTTCAAAAGCCAATAGAATAAAAGGGAGTAGCACAGCTAAGGAAAAGGGGGAAAAAATGGCGGACTGTGTTGTTTGGCGACCCCCGTGAAATGGTCGTTCGACCCCAAATGGGGTCCCAACCCACAGGTTGAGAACCGCTGATTTAGTGACAGTTCAAAGTTCCAACATCACTGAAAAAAGTGACTTATGACTGTTTTTCACACTTACGGACATTGCAGCCTTCCCATGGTCACATGATAAGAATTTGGATGCTTGGCAACTGGTTCACATATATGACCATTGCAGCGTCCCAGGATCATGTGACCACCTTTTGTAATTTTCTGACAAGCAAAGTCAGTGGGGAAGCCAGATTCACTTAACAACCGCTTTACTAACTTAATGACTGCAGTGATTCACTTAACAACTGTGGCAAGAAAAGGTGTAAAATGGGACAAAATTCACTTAACAACTTTCTCACTTAGCAACATAAATTTTGGGCTCAATTGTGGTCTTAAGTTGAAGACTACCTATAAAGTACACTGAATGCAATGTGATTTACTAGTTTGTATAAATCACTGTCTTGGATAATACAGCCTTTCAAGCAAGAACAAATGCCTTGCTATCTATTTTTTCTTTTTCCAACATGGAATTATCTTCAGTTATTATGGCAGATGTCTCTTCTTTAAGCCTGTGCCTTCCTATTGTATTGCGTTTTCATGCTGTTATCCAACACAAGCAACAGATAAGCAGCTGGGAATAACAATTATAATTCAAACCTCTTTGGAAGTTTCTAGTCTGGAGCAGAATGTAAAAGAACCAAAATGAATGATAAGCCTTGGAAGGTCTTCTCTCATAATCTCTTACCTCTAGAAAAGTTTTCCTAATGCATCGAAATGACTCAATGCTCATTTCTTTTTTATTCTCACTTCTAAACATACATATCATAGTTTTATTCACGTCTGTCACTTTGGGTGAAATTCTTTTTCTATTCCATGGATTTTGTGTTCTGTTTGCCAACTGTTAGGAACAGAAGGCATCTTGTTAACTAGGCTAAGAACTCCTTGTCATCATTTGTATTTCATTTGCTATGTGCCAAGTTGCTAATAGTTGCTCTCCATGGCAGTTTAAATTATTCTTCTGCCATGTGAAGTCTGTAATTTTCCTAATAATCTGCTAGATGTACCAGTTATACTAGGATCAGAGATGGGATATATAGTCTATTTACAGAATAATCAAATAATCAAAGTGATTACAATAAACTCCTTAATATATTTTGTCTACTTTGTGTACATTCTTTTCTAGTGCTTTTTTCCATTTTTCAACAAGATGAAATGCTGTTGGAATGGAATTTCAACAGTATTTCATCCAGTTGAAATGGAATGAAACAGCATTGTTCCAGTATTTGAGGGGCTGCCACAAAGAAGAGAGGTCAACTTATTTTCCAAAGCACTGAAAGGAAAGACAAGGAACAATGGATGGAAACTAATCAAGAAGAGAAGCAACCTGGAAACTTCCTAACAGTGAGAACAATTAACCTGTGGAACAGCTTGCCTTCAGAAGTTGTAGGTGCTTCATCACTGGAGGTTTTTAAGGAGAGACTGGATAGCCAGTTGTCTGAAATGTATAGGGTCTCCTGCTTGAGCAGGAGGTTGGACTAGAAGATCTCCAAGGTCCCTTCATGCGCTATTCTTATTTATTGATTGATTACTTTCCAACTTCTGGATATTATTAAATAGATGGAAACCAATCATGCTGGCTCTATTCAAATTAAATTAAATGAAGCTTTGGTTGTTCCTTGCTCATTTTTGTCCTTGAAGTCACTCATTTGCTAGAGTGCAGATCCTGGCATGCCATGGAAAGGTCAAGTACAGTCTTCAATCTTCTCACCCAACCAAAAAAGCTGTGCAGTCCTGCTTAAAATATGAACTCAGCATTACACAGGCATACCTTCTCTAAGCCTGTCTATAACTCATTATAAGGAATTGACTACTATCATTTATATGGTGATGACCTCTAGATTAGGCTTTTAAAATTCTCTTGCACAGAACAGAATTATCCTAGTATATTCAAATCACAGACATCTGTTACTCACCATAGAATATCAAAATGTTATGATATCATTATGCAAATGATACAGTTAATATAGCATCTCAGCATTTTCCCATTTACCCCTCACAGCTGCCCAGGATTCAAATGTTCTGCTTTAGGGTATAATGTGTATGCATGGAGAAAGACAAAGATGAACACATTAGCATGGAATCCATGAAATACAGTATTGTACTCTACCTTTCATGTATTGGGTATGAAATGCTTAGTGGAATTTTTTCTCTGCTTTTATGCCTTTCATAATCACTGGAAACATCATTTAAAAAAAAACTTCTTCTGAAAGGATGAACATTGATAAAACTTCA